AAAAGCATATAATATGTGAATTTAATAAGCTATCTTCAAGTGTGCAAAGTAATTTTTATAGTCCTTTGGCAAATGGTGAATTGCTAAAGGTTCTGTGTGATTTCATTGAATTATCTTTTCTCGACTAATGAATTTAGTGAGTGGGAGATAGGGTAGTCTACAATTTTACTCTGGATAAGTTTACTTTTCTTGTCTGAAACTCATTCTGTAAATCACTGCTAAAGTTGCCAGAGGGAAACTGCAGGTTTTGACAGTTGCTGACCAGTCAGATATTTTGGTACCTAGAAGGCATGGAAGGCAGTCTATAGAATAAGCACATTAGTTGGATTCCTGTTAAAATTATGTTCTTTGTGTGCTTGCTCATGTCAATTGCATTTTAGGTGAATGCGTGTCCACGCATGTGGTCACTGGAGATTTTCTATAGGGCCAGCTGTGGTGCCCCTGTAAGTTCCACACTCATGTGTCCCTATATCAGGCCCTGTGCCCTCTGTTTCCATTTTACTGTCTGTGTTGGTTAACTGGAGCACTTTTCCTTATATAGCAAGAGCTGATGGTTTCGTTTCTCCTGACTTCAATCCTTAGAGCCTTGCAAATAGTTGTTGATAATAGTTAGTGTTAACTAGTTACGGAAGTAGAAACAGGCAAGCCCCAGTCCCTGGATCTCATGGACTGCAATAGGCCTATATTCAAGTACTCGGGGAGATCATGTGTAAAGAACAAGTGTCATCTTTGTACAAAATTTTCGGCCAGGACTCTCAAAGAGCAGGATATTCGTTTATAGGCTCTCCTCATGAATGCTGCCCTTTGTCTGGCTTCTGAGCCATCTTGCCAAGACTTGCAGACTCTCACCAAGATTCAGCTGGCATGAATGAGTATGTGAGGTCATGTTGACATCTGTAGCGCTGTCGTGGGAGCATGGCTGGTGGCCAGCATGATGTCCTTATTGAAGTGCCTTGGGAATGCTGGTGATGATGATGTCCCCTTTGTCCCGCTCATCTGCCATCGCCTTAGAGCAGTGGTCACCAATCAGTAGATCGGGATCTACTGGTAGATCTTGGAGCCTCTGACAGGTGATCCTGACTGGTTTGGCCAAGAGGCTATTAAGTGCCAGCACTTCAACTGCCCCACTGTTGCGCATCTCCTGCCCTTTGCCTTGGAGCTGCCCCTCCCCAATGGGGAGCCTCCTGCTTGCTGGGCAATGCAGGAAAGGGAGAGAAGGGGCACTGATGTCAGGGTGCCCCCTCACAAAGCAGAGAGGCAGCACAACAGGACTTGGGATGGAGTTTGCTGGCTGCTTTAGGGAGTGGGCCAGGTCCAGGGCAGGGGTGAGCCTGCTTTAGCCCAACTGCACCACCAACCAGGAGCCACCTGAGGTAAGCAGGGCTCAGCTGGAGCCCACATCCCAAAATCCTACCCTAGTCATGAACCTCCTTCTGAACCCCAAGTCCCTGCCCTAGCCCCGAGCACCCCTGCATCCAAACACCCTCCCAGAGCCTGCACCGAGAACCCCCTCTGGCATCCGAACTGCCTACCCCAAGCTCAGCTCAGACCCCTCTCTCACTTCAGATCCCTTAATCCAAGACCAGAGCCTGCACCCCAACCCTCTGTGAAGCCTTATGGGAATGAGTAAGGATGGGCAAGAGAGAGAGGATGGAGTGAGCAGGGGCAGGGCCTCAAAGAAGGGGCAGGAGGGAGGCAGGACAAGAGTATTTATACTTGAGGTAGATCTTGGATTGCACTTAAATTCAAAAAGTGATCTCGTGCTTAATAAGGTTGGAGACCACTGATATAGCCAGAGCCTCTCTCACTGTTGGTTCACACTTGATTTGTATTTTTATGGCTTTCTTGGGAAACTTTAGGACTTGCAAAGGAACATCTCTTTAAAAGAAAAGCTCAGATTCTGGAACATAATTCAGAGCCATGGAGTTAGCAAATTCTGTAGCAGCAGCATTGTGGAAATGCAATGCCTTGATTATACAACTCTATCATAAATAGCGAAGCACGTGTCAGTCTGGATAATTAATCTTGCCGAATAAGAAGTGCGTTTAGCCTTCAGAAGATTGTCTGTAACATACCAGGGCACAGTCCAGATTAGCAGGGGCCTGTATCATCCTGCCCTGCAGCCTTGCATGCCTTAAAATGCCTTGCTGCCATAGCTCCCTCTTGGGCTACTCATACACAGCCTTTCAGCATACAAGCCATACCCTGAGTGCTGTGTGTAGCTGCAGCCTGCCAGCTACACCCTGGTTCTCAACAGCCTTGATTATACTGCAGAGAGATGCCCAGCACATCCTAGCACTTGGCTCTTCTCCCAGAAATATATGTACTGGGCTTCCTAGCCCTATGCTGGACAATACAAAATGTTTCATCCATGACTTCTTTAAAGGAGTCCAAGTAATTAGAAATAAAAGTCAGAAATTATTACAAGAAGATAGAGATAAAATGCTTGCTAGTATCTGCTTAAGCAACTCATTTTGTTGCAGCGCAGACTTGCTCACCACGTTTTGAGTAAGATTACTCAACCAAACTCTTTAGATCAGGATCTTTTTCTCACAGTCCAGCACAAAAGTGAGCAGCTGAATCCAGCCCACAAGTGCAGTGGGAACCTCAGCCGGGCTCTCAGACTGTCCTGCCCCTGCACACTCTTCAGAGCAGCTGCTACAGGGGCCATGTGTACATTTCTGAATGCTGCAAGCCTGGGAGAAGGCTGGGGAGAGGCTTTGTGTGCTGCCTCCGCCCCAGGATACTCTAACAGCTCCCATTGGTCATTTTAGTGTCCCTCCCCCCAGGGTCACAGCATTCAGAGCAGCACGTGGCCCCTGAAGCTTCTCTAAGCAGCCTCTGGGGGTGGAGCAGGCAAGGCGCGTACCCCCTACTCCTGCCCCCTACCTCATTTTACCCAAATCCTCTACACCCCTTGTCCCTAGCCCCCAGTCACAACTCTCTCCTGTCCTTAGTCAGAACCCAAACCCCTGCACCTCAGCCCCCTGCCCCAGGTCACAGCTCCCTCCTTCACCCAGACTCCTTCCCAGATCCCACTCCTGCACCCCAGTCCCTTACTCCAAGCCCCCTAACGCACCTAAAAACCATTCCATATGCCACACCTCTTCAGTTAATATCATGGAAGAGTGGGGCCCTTCAACACTTGCCAACTTCTTAGAGTGCCCCCATCAAAACATTGCCCCCTCCTGGTTCAGTGCTGCTGCTTTTTGTCTTCTCAGGGATGTGGGGGGAGTTGTTCGGCGGGAGCCGGTACATATGGGAAGCCAGCTTTCAAGTTGGCTCTATGCGCATATCAACTCCCGTGGAGCCGCCTGCCCTCCCTACACTGCTGTGACTCAATCAGAGGCACCAGCATGGGGAGGGGGTCAGGTGGCTCCATGGAATCCAGTGTTCGTGGAGAGCCAGGTTTTAAGCCAGCTCCTCCTGAGCACCGCCTCCCACCTGCCCCCCACGCTGCTGTTGGAGGCAGCGGGTGAGGGAGACATGCAACTCCATGGGAACTGGCTTAAAAGCAGGCTCCCCACAGATCCCGGCTCCCGCTTCCTTCCCTCCCCCCATTGCTGCCACTGGCTCTACAGGGCTGCTCTACAGAGGCAAAAAGAGGAGGGTGTAGTCATTTGGATTAACCGAGAAGCCCAGGTTTATCGGTTAATTGTTTAAATGACTACAGGCAGTCCCCGGGTTACGTACAAGATAGGGACTGTAGGTTTGTTCTTAAGTTGAATCTGTATGTAAGTCGGAACTGGCGTCCAGATTCAGCCGCTGCTGAAACTGATCAGCTTCAACAGTGGCTGAATCTGGGCGCCAGTTCTGACTTACATACAAATTCAACTTAAGAACCCCAGGCATCCCCAAGTCAGCTGCTGCTGAAACTGATCAGCGGCTGATTCCAGGAAGCCCGGGGCAGGGGCTTCCTGT